TTTTAAGCCGCAGGTTCCTGTCGCGCCGAGCCCTTGACTTGAGGCTCATACAGTGGAGGCACTTTGCAGGGATGTGGGTTTCCCCGAAGCACTTCACACAATGTGAGTACCCATCCAACCTTGGCATGGAGTTCTGACAGGAAAAACACTTTCTGAATCCTGAAGCCCCTGGCATTGTGAATTAGAAATGGCAGGGGAGAGTGTCTCAGCGAGAGACAAGTCTGAAGTAATTTTTTTTTAAAACTAAGTCACTATGTAACTACACTAAAAGAAGGGAAAACAACTGGGATGTAACTAATAACTATTTCTATATTCTTTGTTACTTTGTTCCTACAGAGACCAGGGAAGAGAAGCAGCACTGCCCCGAGTCCTGTCTTCAGCTGGGGATGGTTGAGAAGGAACTGAGGGGGGTACGGGACGCAGGCGCTCGGAAGATTCCAACGAGACGGGAGATACCATCTGAGCGCCTGCATCCCGACCAGGCACCGCTACCGAAAATCTCTGATCAACGGCTCCGGGACGCACCAACACCTAGAGTGGAGCACCCACAGGGACAGCACTCGAAGAAGTAGTACTCGGCAGTAGCCCTGAACCTGGGTCCATCAACTGGTAGGGCTGCCCCGGTGGGGGGGGGAGGGGTCTGGAAGAGGTTCCTTGAGTGGGAATATGATTTCACCTCCGAGTCCAACGATGTCCCTTCTTCCTGGTAAATGGAGGGGCAATACCCGTTGGTACCAAGGAATGGTGCCGAGGTGGGAAGACCAGAGTCAAGGGGACCAGTACGAAATGGGAGCCCAGGGCCCCCTTTTGCTCCCTTCTGCTCACCAGTACCAACACCATCGACTCTTGTACTGCTGGCAACGGTGATACCGAAAGCTCCAGCAGGTCCTGTCCACAACAACTGCCTCCAGGGTAGACGTTACCACAATCTTGCTGATGTCCTATTGCCCTTCTGGTGTCAAGGGATGGTCTGGGATTTGACTCAATGGAACCTGCCTATGAACTGGAGTCAACAGTGCTGCACTCAGAGTTAGAGCAGAGGAGTGGCTAGACTCAGGTTACACTCCACTGCACTCCCCATGCTTGGCTCTTTTCAAATTCAGGTAATGTCTCCTCTCAGTCAGCTCCTTATGTTTCTTCTTTGGCACTGGTGAAGGAGAATGGTGCAGAGAGTCTTTTGTGGCAGGAGAAACACTACACACCGATACTGAAGTACTGGGTGCTGAATTGGACTGGCTCGTCTCGGATGAGGGACAGAGCACCACCTTCATCAGGATGGACTTCAACCTGGCCTCCATGACCTTCTTCGTACGGGGCAGTCAAAAAAGCTAAGAGAATGTTAGGAATCATTAGGAAAAGGATAGATAATAAAACAGAAAATATCATATTGCCTCTATATAAATCCATGGTACGCCCATTCCTTGAATGCTGCGTGCAGATGTGGTCACCCCATCTCAAAAAAGATATATTAGAATTGGAAAAGGTACAGAAAAGGACAACAAAATAATTATGGGTATGGAACAGCTTCCATATGAAGAGAGATTAATAAGACTGGGACCTTTCAGCTTTGAAAAGAAACGACTAAGGGGGGATATGATAGAGGCCTATAAAATCATGACTGGTGTGGAGAAAATAACACAAGAACTAGGAGTCACCAAATGAAATTAATAGGTAACAGTTGTAAAACAAACAAAATGAAGTATTTCTTCACACAGTGCAGTCAACCTGTGGAACTCTTTGACTGAGGATGTTGTGAAGGTCAAGACTATAACAGGGTTTAAAACAGAACTAGATAAATTCCTGGAGGATAGATCCATAAATAGCTATTAGCCGGCCTGGGCAGGGATGGTGTCCTTAGCCTCTGTTTGCCAGAAGCTGGGAATGGGTGACAGGGGATGGATCACTTGACAATTACTTGTTCTGTTCATTCTTTCTGGGGCACCTGGCATTGGCCACTGTTGGAAGACAGGATACTGGTGTATATGGATCTTTAATCTGACCCAGTATGGCTGTTCTTATGGGGCTTGAAGTTTTGACAGAACTGGCAGTGGTCCGTGATATGAGTCTCTCCCAGGCACTTCAGACAATGAGTATGGGTCACTCACAGGCATGGGCTTGCTGCAGGAGGTACAGGGTTTGAAACCCAAGAACCAATGCATGCCCCAGTACTGGTGCGGACAAAACTCCGCTAACAGGGCAAGAAGTGCCACCTAACTATATATCATTAATCTACAACAGTCCAAACTGAGAAAATAAAGAACTGGGATAGCAAAAACAGTGAAAAGGACTAAACCAGTGAGTAAGAGTTTGCCAAAGCAAAAGGGTTCCAGTTACTGTCACTGGCATTAAGAAGGAACTGAGAGGATGCGGAGACCGCCGGGTCCCTTATATTAGCACATGAGCACGCAGCACTACTGGGTGCTAGAGCCGCCCAGTGGATACCACTGAGGGGAAAATCTCCGACAACTGTGCAGATGGCATGCATACACCTAACCTGGAATGGATATGAGCAAGAAGCAGAAGAAGAAGTAAGAAGTGGGCTGTAGTCCACGAAAGCTTATGCTCTAATAAATTTGTTAGTCTCTAAGGTGCCACAAGTACTCCTGTTCTTTTTGCGGATACAGACTAACACGGCTGCTACTCTGAAACCTAGTTTTATGATGTGAGGCTTAAGGAGCTCAACTTATTCAGCTTATTGAAGAGACATTTGAGAGATGACTTGATTATTGTATATAGCTTTTACACACTGTGACACACTGTACCTCAACATGGCACCCTGTAACCCCCATATTCATCATCCATATATGGTTGTGATCTTTCACACAAAGCATACCATGTAAGGTATCATACGAAAGGTCATGACCTGCTGAAATTCTTGTTCTGTCCAAATAGATACATCATTTGTGTATATAAAGTTATAAGATTTTGCTGTGTGTCACTGAAATATACTGTAAATTTGCTATTGACATACAAAGGACCTCCATCCAGGAGGGTGCTCCACGACCTTTAATCAGCAGGGGAGCTGTAATCAAAGGATTTACAATTCAGTGAGAGTTTCCCAAATTCACACAGTGGAGGCTTACTGGATCACTGTGACTCAACAAAGCTCACCGGGACCTGTCTGTGCAAGTGTCTCCCAGGCACATGGATTGAGAGTATAAAATAAGGAACAGTTGTAGTATGTCTTGGCCTTTCTCCTCCCCCAGCTATGCTGGAAGCAACAAGCACACTGAGAAGATGAAAACCTCAACAGAGGAGACTGGTCCAGGCTTCATGGAGAAGTCTGTGTATTAAGGACTGTAACATCCAGTGGGGTGAGAAAATTGCTAATCTAAATACTACCTAGTGTAATGAGGTCTCAGATTTAGACTGTGCATTTATCTTGTTTTCCTTAGTAACTATCTCTGACTTTTTTATGCCTACCACTTATAATCACTTATAATCTATCTTTCTGTAGTCAATACATCTGTTTTATATTTTAACTAAAACAGTGTATTTTGCTTGAAGTGCTTGGGAAACCTCAGCTCAGGTACAAAAGCTGGTGCATGTCCTTTCCACATTGAGGGAGGGGTGGACTGGGTAATAAACTTACACTTGTCAGGCTTTTGACCAGGGTAGGACAGTATAGCGCTGGGGTGCAAGGCTCGGGAGCTGGAGGGAATTTCCTAGAGCCTCTCTATTGTTAGTTCATGAGTGGCAGGGAGAAGTATTCATAAAACTCAGCTGAGTATGTCCCTGCCTTCGGATGTCTCTGTAAGTGCAGTACTTGGCAGAGGTTTGCAGTTTGTCACACATCACAGTGAGAGGAAGCCGAGCCTGGTTGGACAGAGGACTCAGCGGTACCCCAGTTCCAGGTTGCACCCTGGGGATCCTCTCTCATACATGGACCAGGTATCTGATAAAGGGTTTTTTTCAGTCTTGCTGACAAAGTCATAACAAGATCCAATGGCTGAAAGTTGAAGTTAGACAAATTCAACCTTGAAATAAGATGCAATTTCCTAGCAGACAGGGTAATTAAACATTGGAGCAGTTTATCAGCACTTGGAGTCTTTAAAACCAGATTAGATATCTTTCTAAAAGATATACTTTAATCAAGATTCTGGGAGAGATTCCACAGCCTTTGTATATGGGTTGTTAGATGGATGGTCATAGTGCTCTGTTCTGACTCTGAAATCTGTGAATCTCTGAAACCCCTGTTCGTTATCTCTCTTCATGAGCCATGGAGAGAAAAGAAAGATCTGCATTGCCCTCAATGTGCTCATAACACTTGCAGCTCTGCATTAGGACTAGGAATATAATTAAATTGAATGCTTCAGGGTTTCAGCTGGTTGTTTGCAGGGGTCAGGAAGGATTTCCTCCTGCTCCTGAAATGCACAATTGACCAGATGTGCTCTAGGTTTTTTCCACCTTCCTCTGAAGCATCAGAGTGTATTCAATTACCCAGAGCTGGAGTTGAGACACTGGATGGGTGGACCAGGACTTTGAGGAGGTGCAGGGAATCCTCTTTCTTAGATGACTGGCTGATATGCCCTGTTCATATTCTCAGGGTCCAACTGAGCACCAGATTTTCAGGAAGGAATTTCCCCCCCATATATGCTTGGCAGGGACTTTGGATTTTTTTCCTCCTTCTTCTGCAGCATGGGATGAGTATCACATGCTGGGATCATCTAGGTATAACTCACCTAGTCAATTCCTTACCATTGCATGAGCCCTGGTAGCACCTTGGTCTCTCCTGTTCTCTGCCTGTGGCACATAACAGTTTAGTCACCTAAGGACTGAAAGGCTTTGGTCTGACTAAAGTCATTGGGCGTTATCTAGGGATAACTGGGTGAAATGTAATGCCTTGTGATATACAGGAAGTCAGTCTAGATGATCTAATACTTCTAGGCTTAAATGCTATGAAACAATCAATTATTAGCATAATCTTATGAAGAAAATCTTTACATTATTTAAGTTATCCATTTTTGAAGTGTACATACTATGGACTATATTTCACATACATTGACAATAGCTACTGAGGGAATTTTAGTGCACAGATAGTCTCCATATGAAAATCCAAGAGCCGATCGATATATTCCACCCCTATAATACAAAATACAGTAAACAACATGAAATATTCAAATGATATTAAACTGTTCTCTATAGCTATAAATAAATTCAGTCTAAGTAAAAGAGTGATATATCAGATCTGTATTTAGAACTATAAGAAAACAATTTGTTCTTACTTGTAAATATGTCTTCTCATAACATAAATGTGCACCAATCCAGAGTTACTTACTAGCTAAAGTCTGCCCCATCAGAACCAACTGCAAACGTCTTTGCTGAAGTGTCTTCTGCTGAGAGCTGTGATCATGTTAAAAGATAAGTCACTTATGTTATGTGAGGACAAATACACATGTAAGAATTCAGTTGTCCCATTCTTACATACCTAGGGCCAGATCCTCAGCTGATGTAAATTGGCTTTAATGGAATTGTACAAATTATCATCTGATCTTCTGTCCCCAATTATCTTCCCTACTGGTTAACTGGGTTACAGTAGTACAGCAAAAGGGGTAATGAAAATATTTACATAAACATGGCAGCTTAGATAGGCCCATCACCACCCAATGAGGTGAAGTCTACTTTGCAGTGTTTGGTAAAAGTATACAGATACACCCAGCTTGTGACCTTTTATACACAATAACAAAATATCTATTTGATTCCAGCTGCTGATTTCACTTTGATGCAGGATACCTGACAGGTGATTTAATTCTAGAAATTGCCTTCAAGAATTCTGGTACCTGAGCTTGAAATGATAGGGCTATTGGTGGGCTCTGAGTAAGCCTACTATGACTGCCTGCACTTTCACATTCCAATTTAGCACAGTACTTAAGCCCATGTATACTCCCAATGACTTCAATCTCGAAAAATCTCCAGTTACAGATGAGTAACCATTTCTTCTTCGAGTGCTGGTCCCTAAGTGTATTCTACAAGAGTGGTTGACAAGCAATGCTGACTGGAGTGTGAGAAAGCCAGCAGCAAAGATGCTTGCAGTACTTGAGTTTACACTGCCCCATCTGCAGCAGAAGCCTCACTCAGCACCTCATATCTAGCAAGCGTGTGGATGGATCTCCAGCTGGCCACCATGCATATGTCTAGTATTGGAATTTCCTGCAGAGATGCTGTAGAGGCAGCTTGTGCTCTTGTGAAGCATGCCCTGACTCTGTACTAACCAGGGCATGTCTGACATTGAGGGAAAGAAGTCTTTTCACTTTGGCAGAAGCATGAGGTTTCAGAAAAAAAAGACAGGTACAAGGATGCTTTGGTTGACATGAAATTCAGAAATAACCATAGGAAGGAACTTAGAATAGGGGCAATAGGGTACCTTTTCCCTGTGAAAACCCATATAAGGGAGGTCTGCCATGAGTTCTCCCAACTCACTTACTCTCCTGGCCGAAGTGATAACTAAAAACGCAACTTCTCAGGACAGGTAGGACATGGAAGGCTTCACCAAGGGTTGAAATGGTGATCTGGTGAGGGTTCACAGGATGAGATTGAGGTCCCATTGAGATTTGACCACTGAAGAAAAGATACTTGGGTGAAAGAAAACAGAATGCCTGTCTACCGGCGGAAGGAAGGCACTAATTGCTGTGAGATGGACCTACAGAGAGCTAATGAAAAGGCCTACTTTTTTTAGAGACCAGATACAATCCAAAATGACCAGAATACCTGCAGTACCTGTAGATGGATGATTATATTACACCAAGGCAGAGAAACATCTCCATTTAGCTAGTGAGCAGGCCCTAGTTGAATCTTCCCTACTTTGGGTATGGACAGCCTGAACGGCTGCAGAAGAGGAGCATTCTATTTCCAATGCCCATCCGAATACAGGCCGTGAGACGGAGTGAGTCTGGATTAAGGTGTCTGATTCTATCCGCCTCCTGAGTTAGGAGATCTGGAAAGGGGTGGATCATGATTCAGGGACAGGATAATATTTTTAGGAGCTCTAGGAATCAAATGACTAGCCCTGTCATTATGGATCTTTCTCAGAACCTGTTTTAGCAGAGGAATGAAAGAAAGGCCTATGTGAGATTGTTTCTCCATCACAATAGCAGAGTGCTGCCCTGGGAGCTGTGGCCCATCGCTCCTCTGGAGAAAAACAGGGAAGTATTCGGTTAGTTTGGGACACAAAGATATCAAATTGAGATGCACCTCACAGAGTGAATATTTTGCTCAAGACAGAGTCGTGAATCTCTCACTCATGGTCTGCAGAGAAGTGCCTACTCAGGTTTTCCACTGGGAGGTATGCAATTTGTATGGTGGTGCAGATTCTGAAGCATCAGTTTCAAACCCTGACTGCTTCCAGGTAAACAGAAAGAGATTTTGTTCTGTGCTGTTTGTTTATGTAAAAGGCCATGGTGATAGTCATAGAATCATAGAATATTAGGGTTGGAAGACACTTCAGGACGTCATTTAGTCCAATCCCCTGCTCAAAGCAGGACCAACACCAACTAAATATTGTCCAACACCACTTAGATATGGATTGAATGTATAAGTGGGAGAAAGGCTGTGCAAGCCAGGCAGACTGCTCTCAGGTCTCTCATGGAGTTCAGGTACCTTGAACGGTGTGGCCTTTCAGGTGGGCACCCCGACCCCAAAGAGAAATGTCTGTTCTAATGGTGGCAGTAGGGATGAAAGTGTTGAAGGGAATGCTCATTCTCACTCTCTTTGGGTCTGACCACCAGATGGGGGAGGTGATGACTTTGGTGGGAACACTCACTCTGGAGTTGATGAAATCTCGATCTGGTGAGTACTCTCACCGGAGCCAGGCCTGCAGACATTGTGGATGAAGGTGTTCACACAGCATTACACAAGTGCACAAGGTCATATAGTCTAATACCGAGAGGCACATTCTCCCCAAAGTTCTTGGTCTGCAAGTAATCCAAGCGATCAGGCTGCTCATTAACTAAAATATTTTTGTGGGAAGCAATACTCTCAATGAAACATTTATTGTCTCTGTAGATGATAAGCCAACTTTTCTCTGTTTATGCAGATACCAAGAGCTGCTAGAATATGGAGCAGAAACTGCATCACTGAACTGACCTGTAGACAATAGCAACCTTTCAAAAACCAACTGTCTGTTGTGATCAATTCCCAATTGTGGGTGAAGAGTGCAATATGGTCCCCAAAAATAATAGGAGAAGAGGTGAGTGATGGTGGGGTTGGGTCTCATTAATATGTCAAAAGTAGCCCTTTGCAGGTGGCTGAGATTGGACAGAGGTTATGGGGGTAGAGGCGGCTTTGAAGCAAGGCCTCTGAACACTCTGATGTTTTCTCAGAGGCTCAACAGGATGCTGATAGTAGAATGCTTGAGGAGGGAGTGGCCTTGCCATATAGGCTTGTCTCTGCTGTTTTCTCCTTGCAGCTAGAGTGTAAATCACCAGAGAGTGAAAAGTCGACCTTGAATTCTTTAACAAGCATAAGAACTCATCCATTTTCTCAATGAAGAGATTTAACTCATCATAGGGCAGGTCCTGTATGGTATTCTGGATATCCCTGGGAAAACACAAAGACACTAGTTAAGAATTCCTCCCTGTGCCTGTACCAGTGGCCAGGTTTCTGGATGCCATATCTGCTGCATTCACTGCAGAATGAAAGAAAGAATCTTCTTTCCCTCCTTGCCCTTTGGTCCTCTATGAAGGACCAAAATTGGACTCTGACCTCGGAGTGGTCCTTAAAGTCCACCAGCCTGGAACAGCTGTTAAAATAATATTTTGATAACAAGGCTTAATTGTTAGTAATATGGAATTCCAGGCCCATAAAGGAAAAGACCCTTTTCTCCATGTAATCCAACCTCTTTGAGCCTTTGTTAGTCTTGGTGGTAGTCCTTTGATGTTGGGACCTATCCCTCTCCATACATGCCTCTACCACCAGAGACTTAGGTGTTGTGTGGGAGAAAAGAAATTCAGCTCCCTTGGTGGGGACGAAAGAGCACCTCTCGACTCAGATTACAAAATACCCAGGAATTCTTTTGTGTGTCTTGGACCTTCTCCAGCTGTATCTGGAGGTCATTGGCAATCCTCTGCAGTAGCTCCTGGTATTGCCTATCAATTCTCTAGCAGACATGAAGAGGAAGGAGTGACTGCTTCATCTGGAGACAAGAATGAGATTCATATTAGTATTCCCAGTACTTGTGGATATGGGTCAATATGCTCCTCCTCACAGTATGCTCCTCCTCCTCACACTTCAACAGATCCGATGGGAGCTGAGAAGGAGAAGTGTGGTAAGATTTCTTCACGGGTCCCGGGCATCTGTCATGGAGATCCCACAGGCCCCAAAAAGGCTAGAAAGAGGGTTCCACTGATTGTGAGGGACCCAATGTCATTGGGTACCAGCCATCCCTGGGGAAGTCATATTTGGGGGGGGGGCAGCAATCTGAGCTGCTCAACTGCCAGTCAGGACTCATCTCTGTCCAAGAAGATGGAGAAGTGGCCAGAATGTCTGATGAGTCTGAGTCAGAAAACTGCTCCCCTTCCAATGGTGGAGCCATCGGTACCAGGGTACTCCTGCCCAATGGCTGGAGAAGAGACAGCTCCTTAGATACTGAGTAGTATCATCCTCTGGTAATGTCCCAGAGGAGGCCTGGGCCCGAGAGGATGGGAGACTATAGATAAAGGAGGAAGATATCCTCCAGTGTCATATATGTCTCCATATATCAGTGGTTCTCAACCTGTTGCCCATGGGCCACATGTGGCCTAATTAGCACACAGCTATGACCCAGCTGTGGGGTAAAAACATTCAAAGTTTGCAACTCTGGTCCTGGAAGAGGGCAGGGCTTGGGCTGGCTGAGGTGGAGATGACGCCACGTAGCCCTGCTGAAGCCCTCCTACCAGCAAGGAGGGCGAAGCAGCCCACTGTGGTTGGGGAGGAGCTCAGCCAGCAGTCAGCCGGCAGCCTGCTGCTTCCTCCCTCTCTTCTCCCCACCCTGCAGGAACACATTGCTAGGTGTCTGGTCAACACTGCCAGACTGGTTGAGAACCACTAGCTGGTGAAAACCAAAAAGACTGAACATCAGCTTGAACCTCAGCCTTCCAGGACTCAAA